ACCACTAGAGGTCAGTTTTACTACTGGCTTCCTTTCCTGGAACTTTCCCTGATGGCCAAGCCCTTCAGGGCTCTGTGTGGGTGTCCAAGACTTCCAGAGCAAGGCTGGACACTAGGAGGGTCTTGATAAACCTTCTGTTTATTGATACCAGAGATGCCCGCACAGACGGCATTGGTACTACCTTGCCAGGACAGCATGGAACTGCTTTGGTTCTTTTAATATCTAGGTCTCTGGGCCTCAGTTTGTTCATCTGAAAAATGGAGATAACAGCACAGCATCCATCTCCATGGCTGTCGTAAAGCCTGAGTGTGTTAATCTATGTGAGTGTTGATGACAGCTTGGGGTACATAGTAAGGGCTCATTAAATGTTATTTGTTATTCTCCCAAGGGTCCAGAAGGTCCTTTTGCTATCTGGCTGAAGTCTGTCCTGCTTTAGGTCTCTTTCTTCTGACTGAGGTCTGGAAAGGAGATGCAAGGATCTGCCCGCACCTTCCACCTCAGGACACAAACGCCTTAGGGGCCTGAGGTTTGGGGGTCAGACCTTGAAGAAGCTTGGAATGAAAGGAGGTGCTGTCAAATTCAAGCTCCATGTCATGGAGGCATATGGCCCAAGACCAAGGAGTAAGATTGTGGGAAATGGTCAGGGGCAGAACCAGGGAGGCCTGCAGGCAGGAACCCACTCCTAATCTCAGAGTTGGACAGGGGCGGGGCGTGCAGGTCTTACCAGCACTTCCTGGGCTGTGCATCCCCCGCATTCCAGGTCCAGCTTTCCTCAGCACCAAGCTCCAGGTTGCTCTGAAGGACATCTGCATGTGTGTGTGTGTGTGTGTGTGTGTGTGTGTGTGTGTGTGTGTGTGTTTGTCCTGCCCCACACATGGCCCTCTGCCCCTACCCTCAGAGCCCAGACAGAGAAACCATTTTTCACAGGTGCTATGGGTGTGGGTTCCCAGGATTTCAAGGTCACCCTCATGCCCCGACCCTTCTACTTTCGTCCACTATCCCGATGGAGGTGGATGGGGGTCCTAGACATTTGGTGTCCCCATCCTGGGACCTCAACTAACATCCCAGAAGTGGGAGGAGGCCTAACTCCTCAGGCAAGGTCTCAGCTGTTTGGGGCTGGGGTCCTGGGTTCTGGTTCCAGCCCTGGTTCAGCCAGGCCAAGTTGGGAAACCTCCCTCAACTGTTGCTCCCCTTCCCACAGGAAACTGGGTGGGAGTCTAGGTAGGGAGGGAGCAGGTCCCAGGCTACCTCTTTTCCTCACAGGGCCATCTGCCAAGGTCTCTGCACAGACGGCCTGGCCCCCACCCCTTCCCCCCTAATTAGCTGCCTACGTGCTCACAGAGCCTGCTCTGCTGAAGCTGGTGGGGGAAGGGGACAGGCTGAGCCCAACCCCCTGCTCCCCAGGGAAGTCTCAGGGTTTGGCATCCCAAGGGGATTGGGGGATGGGGAGGGGCTTTAGAGGGGGACAGGGACCAAACTGGGTCAGAGGGAGGAAGAGGAGCACACATCTGGGGAGAGGAAGGGAGTATCCCGCTTCTGGAAAGAAAAAGAGCCCCTCACAACTGGGGAGAGCAAGGGGCACCCAATAATTAGACAGAAGGAGGAGCTGTACCATATGTGCTGAGAGGGGAGCCCCCACATCTGGGAAGGAAGGGCTCCCCTTCAGTCTTAAGTAGGTTGGAGAGCCCCGCATACAGGGAGAGGGAAAGAGCTGTCGCCCCACATGCGGGCAGAGGATAGTGCTCCCAGAAGTCTCGACTCTGAGCTTCCAGAAGCCCCCTGAGCCTCCGCCAAGGCAGGAACCACGCCTGCCCTGACCAGTGACCAAAAGTCCCAGGCCAAGCCGCATCCCTCAGCCGCCGGCCTCTCCCACCCGCTCCCGCTCACTCACCTCCGCCGCAGCGCCCAGGGCCACTTAGGTCTGCAGAGCGAGTCACCAGGAACGAGAAGGGGCCCCAGAGGAGCGAACGCGGCGCCCGCCCCCGGGCCCGCCCCGCAGCCTTTCCCAAGGCCAACCCCTGCGTGGGAACGTCCTGCCTCGCCGGGCGTGGGAGCGCCCAGCCCGCGTCCCTGGGGGCGCCCGGCCCCCAGCCTGGGGAGGGCCACTGCAGAGTGACTCTCTGCCTTGGTTTCTCCGCCCACGGGGGTCCTGCCTCTGGAGCCCCCAGCAGACAGCGCCTAGGACCTAGCTGGCGGTGTGTCCTGGGCCTGCCCAGCCTCTGAGTCTCCTAGTCCCAGGGGCTGGATCACCCTGCCACCACACCTTTGTTCATTGCTGTTCTTTGCACTTGGAATGCTTCTCTTAGAGACTTTGCAGCCCCACCTGTGGCCAACTTTCCAGCCCAGGGTCACTGCCTCCTGCTGCAGGAAGCCCACAAGCATTTAGAATCTGGGAGCTGGTTTGTGGTGTACCACCTTGTTCTCATGCCCCCATGTACCCAGGGGAGGCGAAAAAAGCCTCCCTCTGGTGCTCAAATTTTAGCTGTGTGGCCTTCAATAAATGGCCTAACTTCTGAGTTCCTGTTTTATTTTCTAGAAAAGGGAGCTAATGATAGTACTTACCTACATGGCTGTTGTAAAGATTAAATAAGCCAAGAGAAAAGCATCAGGCACATTTACTCAAGAATTATTTATTATTTATTATTCAGACCTATTACAGCTGGCATTTATTGAGTGTCCGTTGTTTACTGTGTTAAGTGCTTGGGGATATAGAGCCAAACAAAACTCAAACCAGTCCCTGACCTTTTAGTGCTCACAATCCAGTTCCAGACAGAGATATAGGACTGTGCAAAGGCCCAGAGGCAGAAAAAAAAAAAAAACAGGTGCTTTCAAAGAAGAGAGAGAGGCCATCTTGGCCTGAAGGTGACAGGCAAAGAAAAGAGTTGGAGAGGGACTAGATCACCAAGAAAGGCCTCATAGGCCATAGTATGGATCTTAGATTTTATTTTTTAAGATTTTATTTATTTATTTGAGAGAGAGAGAGAGGCAGAGACATAGGCAGAAGCAGGCTCCCTGCAGGCAGCCACCCAGGCATCCTCATTTTATTTTAAAGATGAGAGGCCACCAGAAGTAAGTATGAGAGTGATATGGCTAAATGGGACACAGCATGGGGACGCCTGGGTGGCTCAGTGGTTGAGCATCTGCCTTTGGCTCAGGACGTGATCCCGGAGTCCCGGGTCGAGTCCCACATCAGGCTCCCTGCATGGAGCCTGCATCTCCCTCTGCCTGTGTCTCTGCCTCTCTCTGTCTTTCATGAATAAATAAATAAAATCTTTTAAAAAAAAATGGAACAGAGCATCAGTTTAGGAAATGTGGCATGGGATTGTTAGAATACTAATGGTTGACTGATGAGTGAAGGCTGTGGGTCTCTTCTGTGGCCTGGGTCCAGAGCTTTCTATGTATGCCAGCTCTGGGCCTATGAGATGTGTCCAGTGCCCACCCATCCATCAGGGATCCTATACCAGTGAGGCCAAGGGACCCACTCTAGCCAGTGTCTGGATGGAGGGGCTTAATCCCTAGAGGGTAAATGAGCCTAGAAGGGCAGGGACTCAGGGTAGGTGCTAGAGAGACCCTAGGGTGGGTATGATGCACATCTCCATTCTGAACTTCAGCAGCAACAGACACAAGGCTGTGAGAAGGCAGTGTGGGAGTCTCTTGAATCTCCACAACGCAAAGCCCTCAGCTCCCAGTACTCGCCATGGAGCTGCTCCTCCCCTCTTCCCACATGACCAAGGAAATTCCAGATTTGAAAGACAGCCCCCTCCCCCTCAAGAGGACCACCTTACCTCTTGGATGCTGAGTAGGGTGTCCTGAAGAGTGGCCCTATGGACAAAGGACAAGGGAAGACCACCTTTCAGGCAACCTGGGGAGAGCATGCCTTAAATCTTATCAGACCTTTCCAGAGGCAGGTGGGCATTAGCTGCACTGAAATGAGTGGCTGATGTGTAGGCTCTGCTGCTGCCATGCCAGTGGCCAAGCTGTGCCATTTATGGGCCTCAGTTTCCCCATCCCTCACAGGGCTTTGCAAGGAAAGGCATTTGGGGAATGTGACCTTCTGTTCTGCCCTTCCCCGCTGCCTGTGTGGGAACTTTAGGCTCCAGATGCTGGGTGATGCTATGATAAGGAACATCTGTAAGAGAAGTTGGCCCCAGGGCCAAAGGTGAGGAGATGGAAGCAGGCCTTGGGAGGCTCAAGATTGATATAGGGCAGTACAACCACCTGCAGGGCAATAGTCCCAAACCTGGGAATAGTCAGACTCCCCTATAAGGCAAGTCATTCAGGAGGCCGCGGCTGAGGAGCAGGAGTCTTCCCTGAGAACCTTGGAGGGCACTTGAAAGGAGGGTTCCCAAAGGCGCATTACAGGCTAGTTGCGGTGATGGAGCCTACACGGGAATGCAGGTCAAGGTTGCATAAACATCAAGGATGGGTGGGAGGTGAGAGGAATCTGTCCCTTTCCCCCTGGCCCCACCGCTCTACCCTTCAGTGGGAGGCGACAGAGAGGGGCAGCTCTCACTCATTTTATCAGATCCAGGGAGTCCCTGAGAGTCTGTCAAGACAAAGACCTGAACCTAGGTCTCAGCATCCTGCTGGTAGGACCCCCGACTCCCACTTCCCCCAGCCTATGCAGCTTCGAATTGGACCCACCTCCTGGCCCTCAGCCCAAAGGGAATACCCGGGAAGACCTAGGCCTCACGCAGGACCCGAAGGCAAACGTAGGAAAAGGTGTTGGACAAAACGTCGGGGACCCCTGCCCCACCCCTCTCAAGCCCCGGGAGCCCGTTGAAAGGGGGGGAGCTCTGGAACAGGAGAGGGGGAGGAAAGCGAGGGTGGGCGAGACTTATCCGTAAGGGCAGGTCTGCAGTGTAAGACCTGGGCCAGGGACCGGCGGGGAAACGGAGGCACAGAGCGGTCGAGACTGGATGGGCGGGCCAGGTGCACAGAGTGGGCTTGGTCAGGGTCGGGAGGCGAGGCCTACCCAGGTCTCCTGCAGAAGGCGGGCTCAGTGCGAGGCCCGCAGGGAGGCAGGGAGGCGGGTTGCGCCAGCACGAGGGGCCCAGGCGCAGCGCGGGCTCGGAGGAAGCCACCCCGGGATCCGAGCTCCAGGGCCCGTCCTGAAAGCGCTCCCGCAGCCGCGGGCAGGCGGCCGGGCCGTAAGCAGCGCGCACGCGGGGCTGCCGCGGAGAGCGCCTCTGATGGCGGGCATCTCGGCCCTGGAACCATGTCGTGTCTGGATTTCGCTGGCACGGGAAGGCACCGTTGGCCCGGCAGGTGGAGGATCGTCCTTCAGGTGGGTCTGACCTCTCGGCAGCGCTTCCGCCCCGCGGCCAAAGCCCCGCAGGAGGAGGCGGTGCTGAGGTGGGGCCCGGCTGTGGCCGCCACGCAGCAACGGCGACTGGCCCCGCACCTCGCTCACGGCGCGCGAAGCTCGCAGCTGTCGGCGGAAGCGGAGGTGCGGGGCCGCCGAGCTAGAGGGGCTGGGGGCCGACCCGTCCGCCCGCCTCTCCGGGCCCTCGGCCCCGCCCCGGAGGCCGCCGCCCCTGGCCCCGCCCACAGGCGGAGCTTGTCCCGCGTCCCGCCCCCTGCTCGTCACCCGCTGCCCCACCGACCTCCCGCGTCTCCGCGTCTCCGCCTCCTGCCCCGAGCCGCGGGTCCTCCCCGCCCAGCGCCCCGGACGGTGCCGGCGCCGCGCTCCTGCGGGGCTCCCCCGGGCGGCCCAGCGCGCCCCCATCCCCCGCCGCGCCCCGGCCGTCGTCCCGTTCGGGTCCCGCGTGGCGGTCAGCGGGGAGGAGCCCCGCGCGGGGGAGGCTGCAGCGGCGGGCGCGTCGCGGGGTCAGCTCTGGCCGCCGGGGGGCAGCGGGGCGGCCCCCACCACCGGCGGGAGAAGGGCGTGACGCTGGGTCAGAACGTGCTGCGAGGAAACCGCGGGGCGGGCCTCCTCACCACCCCTTACCTGGGCAGCTACGTACGAAGGACCGGCCAGCGGCCCCCCCTTGGCTAGTTCCAGGGGCGGTGAGGCTGGGCCCCCGGCGGCCTACGTCTAGGCTTCTGGTCCCTGCTCCATCCTCTGCTGGTTTCAGTCCCTCTTCCCTCTTCCCCGCCTCCCCGCGCCCCCGCCTCGGCCTCGGTTTCCACCTGTTTACAATGTCAGGCCGAAGCTCTGCTCATGGGCTGTGAAGGTGAATGCCAGGGTCTGAGCAGGGATTCTCCCAGAGGCGCCCCCACCGGTGACTCAGCCCAGCTGTGGATGGGGCTCTGGGTAGGGCGGGCCTCACCTCAGCAGAGCAGCAGCAGCAGCACCACCAGGGAATAGTCCGACTCGACAAAGGGCTAAGGCGGTGGGATCCTGGACGCTGAGGGGGTCAGACCAGCCCTGGGGTAGGCACAGATCCCTTCAGATCTGCTCTGGGACTCCACACTAACCTAGAACCATTTGCACCTACTGCTCAGGGTCTTCCAGAGCCTTCTGCACTACAGGCCAAACCGGGTGCACAGAGCAGGGGGAGGGGGACTCCTGGGTGGCTCAGTGATTGAGTTCTGCCTTCTGCTCAGGGCGTCCTGGAATCGAGTCCCACATCGGCCTGCTGGAAGGGAGCCTGCTTCTCCCTCTGCCTATGTCTCTGCCTCTCTCATAAATAAATAAATAAAATCTTAAAGAAGAAAAAAAAAAAGAGGAGGTGGAGGGACCTGGCCAAACCCCAACACCTGGGCGAGCCCTTGTCTTCTCTGGGACACAATGGGCTCATGGGCAGGGCCATATGGCCCCCTGATGTGGCCCAAGCATTTGTGGGGACAGCCTTATGGCCTCCTTGAACCTTCATTAGCACCCACTGACCTCCCAATAAGCTCCTTAGCCTGATTTTTTTAAAAGATTTTATTTATTTATTCATGAGAGACACAGAGAGAGAGAGGGAGGCAGAGATACAGGCAGAGGGAGAAGCAGGCTCCATATAGGGAGCCCGACTTGGGACTCAATCCCGGGACTCCAGGATCACCCCCTGGGCTGAAGGCAGACACTAAACCGCTGAGCCACCCTCGTGTCCTTGGGACACTATTTTCAAGCCCAGCCATGCTGTGAAGAAGCCACATAAGCCCATGTAGTGAGAACATATGGAGAGGTCATCCGTAGGTGTTCTGGCTGGCAGACCAGCTTAGGTGCCAACCCACAGCCAGCCTCAGCTTCTAGTCATATACATCTCCAGATGAGGCCAGTCCCCAGCCCTCACAGGCTCCCCCAGCCACCAAGTCTTCCCAGCTGAGGCCCCAAACACGTGATGCCCAGACAAGTCATCTCTGCTGTGACATTTCTCAATTCCTGCCCACAGGATCCATCAGCATCAGACTGCTGCTTTACAGACTGAGTTTTCAGGTGGGTTTTGCTGTTGTTGTTTTATAAAAATACTTGTTTCTTCAAGTAATCTCTATACCCAAGGTGGGGGAGGATCTCACAACCCTGAGATCAAGAGTTGCATACTCTTCCGACCAAGCCAGTCAGGCACCCCTCAGGTTTGTTCTCTATGATAGTAACCACAGCAGTTAACAAATGGTATTTTGATTTCCACATACCTGACCCCTCATTTGATGCGGTTGTTTCAGAATTTAGGCAAGAAAGAGGTTATTGGGATGCCTGGGTGGCTTAGCAGCTGAGTATCTGCCTTAGGCTCCTGGCGTGATCCTGGGTCCAGGGATTGAGTCCCATATCCTGCTCCCTGCAAAGAACCTGCTTCTCCTTCTGCCTATGTCTCCGCCTCTCTCTCTCTCTCTCTCTCTCTCTCTCTCTCTCTGTCTCTCATGAATAAATAATAAAATCTTCAAAAACAAAACAAAACAAAAAAAAAACCTACCTCTGAGAGCCTGCCCCTGACATTGTGCAAGTGCCCTTCCTAATCAGTCTACATCTATTTTCTTCCCAGCACTTTTTATTTCCCAAAAGTACACACAGAAACTCACAGGCTTGGGACACCTGGGTGGCTCAGTGGTTGAGCATCTGCCTTCAGCTTGAGTCGCAGTCCCGAGGTCCTGGAATCAAGTCCCTGTATCAGGCTCAAAGCAGGGAGCCTACTTCTCCCTTTTCCTGTGTCTCTGCCTCTCTGTGTCTCTCATGAATAAATAAAATCTTTTTAAAAAAGGAGGAGGAGGAGGAGGAGGAGAAGGAGGAGGAGGAAGAGGAGAAAAGGAAAAACAAACAAATTCACAGCCTTTGTGGCGTGTTTGCTCTACACACCAGGCCTGTTCCCTCACGTCCCTCCACTTCCAGGGTAGGGATGAAGTGGGATCTAGTGGTACAATGACTGGGTGTCTATGCCCCCTCAAAATGCATATGTTAAACCTAATCCCCAGAGTGATGGCATTTGGAGGGGGAAGCCTTTGGGAGCAATTAAGTCATGTGGGTGGAGCCCACATGAAAGGGATTAGGACCCTTACAAAAGAGATCCCAGAGTTTCCTCTACCCTACTGCCCTGTGAGGTTGCAAAAGAAGCCAATTGTCTACAGGGAAGCTGGCACTCACCAAATATGGAATCTGCCAGCATCTTGATCTTGAACTTTCTCAGTTTCCAGCACTGTGAAAAATAAAGATCTGTTGCGTGTAAACCACATGATTTTTTCTAAAAAAGGTTTTATTTGGGACGCCTGGGTGGCTCAGTGGTTGAGTGCCTGCCTTTGGCTCAGGGCGTGATCCTGCAGTCCTGGGATCAAGTCCCACATGGGGCTTCCTGCATGGAGCCTGCTTCTCCCTCTGGTCTCTGCCTCTCTCTGAGTCTCTCACGAATAAATAAATAATTTTTAAAAAGATTTTATTTATTTATTCGTGAGAGACACAGACAGAGAGACAGGCAGAGGGAGAAACAGGCTTCTGGCAGGGAGCCTGATGTGGGACTTGATCCCCGGATTCGGAATCACGCCCTGAGCCAAAGGCAGATGCTCAACCACTGAGCCACCCAAGCATCCCTCAATCTATGATCTTTTGTGAGAGTAGCCTAATTGGGCTAAGACAGGCTGTCTTAATTTTTATTGGTGCTATTGTAAATGCTACTTTAAATTTTTTTCAATTTACAATTGTTCACTTCTATTATATAGAAATGCAGGGGCACCTGGGTGGCTCAGCCGGTTAAGTATCAGCCTTTTGCTCAAGTCATGATCCCAGGATCCTGGGGTCATGGCCCACATGGGCCTGCATCCTCAACCAGGAGTCTGCTTCTCCCTCTGCCTGTCCCCCTGGCTCATGCTGTCTCTCTCTCAAAAATAAATAAATAAAATCTTAAAGAAGGAATTGGAATTGACTTTTGTATGTTGCCCTTAGATTCTATGACCCTGTAAAATTCATTTATTGGTTGCATTAGTTTGCTGGGGCTCCCATAACAAAGTACCACAGACTGGGTAGCTAAAACAGGAGAAATTTATTATCTCATAGTGCTAGAAGCTACAAGACCAAAATCAAGGTGTCTGCAGGTTTGCTTCCTTCTGATACCTGTGAGGAGAGGCCTCCTTGGCTTATAGCTCGTTGTCTTCTTCTGGTGCCTCTTTATATTGTCTATGAGTGTCTCTGTGTCAAAATTTTCCCTTTTTATAAGGAAGCCAGTCACACTGATCTTTCCAAGAACCAGCTTTTGGTTTCATTGTTTTTATGTGTCCAGCATCATTGATTTCTCCTCTATTTCTATCATAGTTTGGGCTTAATTTGCTTTTTCTTTTTTGTAGTTTCTGAAGGTGGAAGTTTGTATTATTGATTTGAGACCTTCTTTTCTCATATAAGAATTTAATGCCATAAAATTCACTCCTAGCTCTATTTTAGCTGCCTCTCACAAATAGTGTTAGGTTACATTTTCATTTTAATTTGGCTCGAAACATTTTCTAACTTCTCTGGAAACTTCTCTGACCCACGGCTTATTTAGAAGTACATTGTTCAGTTTCCAAATATTTGGGGTTTTTTCCAGATATCTTTTAGTTCCTGATTTCTAATTTAATTGCTCTACGATCAGAGAATATTCTTTGTACCACTTAAATTTTTTTAAAGATCTTATTTATTTATTCATGAGAGACACGGGCAGAGGGAGGAGAAGCAGGCTCCATGAAAGGAACCTAATGTGGGACTCAGACCTGGGAATCTAGGATCAGGTCCTGAGCCAAAGGCAGACACTCAACAGCTGAGCCACCCAGGTGTCGTTGTATCATTTAAATTTTTAAATTTTTGTTTAATATAGAAGGCTGGGATCTCCCTGGTCAGCTGGGATGCTTCTCCCTCTCCCTCTGTTCCTCCCCACCCCGCTCATATTTTCTCTGTCTCTCAAATAAATAAATAAAATATTTTAAAAATAAATAAGTAGGGACACCTGGATGGCTCAGCGGTTGGGTGTCTGTCTTTGGCTCAGGGCGTGATCCTGAGATTTCGGGATCGAGTCCCACATCGGGCTCCCTGCATGGAGCCTGCTTCTCCCTCTGCCCGTGTCTCTGCCTCTCTCTCTGTCTCTCATGAATAAATAAATAAAATCTAAAAAAAAATTTTAATAAATAAATAAATATAAAAATAATAAATAAATAATGAATAAATTAAAAGCCCAGAATATGGTCTATCTTGGTGAATGTTCCATGGCTACTTGAATGTGTTCTGTGCTACTATTTGGTAGAATTCTCTATAAATGTCAATTAAGTCAAGTTCACTGAAAATGTTGTTCAAATCTTTTGTATTTTTGCTAAATCTGTTTTATCAATTACTGAACTCAAACTGTTGGTATCCACAAGTATAACTGTGACTTTGTTTATTTCAAATCTATCAGTTTTTGCCTTATATATTTAGGAGATTTTTTTTAAGATTTTTTAAAAATTTTTATTTATTTATGATAGTCACAGAGAGATAGAGAGAGAGAGGCAGAGACATAGGCAGAGGGAGAAGCAGGCTCCATGCACCGGGAGCCCGACGTGGGATTTGATCCCGGGTCTCCAGGATCGCGCCCTGGGCCAAAGGCAAGCGCCAAACCGCTGCGCCACCTGGGGATCCCCTTTTTTTAAGATTTTATTTATTTATTCATGAGAGACACACACAGAGAGGTAGAGACACAGGCAGAGGGAGAAGCAGGCTCCCTGAGAGGAGTCTGACGTGGGACTGGATCCCGGGACTCTGGGATCACACCCAGAGCCAAAGGCAGACATTCAGTGCTCAACAGGCTGAGCCACCCAGGCGTCCCAGGAGCTTTATTGATGAGCACAGACACACTCAGGATTGTCATGTCTTCTTGGTGAATTAATCCTTTAATCATAATCTTCTTTATCCCTGGTGATTTTTCTTGTTTTGAATTATGCTTTGTCTGTTATTAATATAGCCACTCCAACTTTTTTTTTTTTAATTTGTGGTCTATGGTATATTTTTTCCATCCTTCTTTTAATCTACCCATATACTTATATTTAAAGTGGGTTTTGGGCAGCCTGGGTGGCTCAGCGTTTAGCACCGCCTTCAGCCCAAGGCCTGATCCTGGAGACCCAGGATCGAGTCCCATGTCAGGTTCCCTGCCTGGAGCCTGCTTCTCCCTCTGCCTGTGTCTCTACCTCTCTCTCTCTCTCTCTCTCTCTCTTATGAATAAATAAATAAATAATTTAAAAAAATAAAGTGGGTTTTATGTAGATAGAATATAGTTGGATCTTGTCTTTTTTTTTTACTTTAATCCAAGGAGTGCTGTCTTTTAATTGGTGCATTTATGTATAATTAGTATGTTTACATAATTACTGAAGTGCAAATTTAGGTCTGCTAGGTTATTCTTCTTTTTTTTTTTTAATTTTATTTATTTGCTTGAGAGAGAGCAAGAGGGAGAGGGAGAAGCAGACTTATCACTGAGCAGGGATGCACCAGGACCCTGGGATCATGACCTGAGCTGAAGGCAGATGCTCAACTGACTGAGCCACCCAGCTGCCCCTATTCTTTTTTTTTCTTTTTTTAAAGATTTTATTTATTTTATTTTATTTATTTTTTAAATATTTTATTTATTCATTCATGAGAGACATATATATAGAGAGATGCAGAAACACAGTCAGAGAGAGAAGCAGGATCCATGCAGGGAGCTCAATGTGGGACTCGATCCCGGGACTCCAGGATCAAGCCCTGGGCCAAAGGCAGACACTCAACTGCCGAGCCACCCAGGTGTCCCTTAAAATTTTATTTTTAAATAATCTCTACACCCACTGTGGAGCTCAAACTCACAACCCTGAAATCAAAAGTCCCACTGAGTCAGCCAGGTGTTCCTATCTACTTAACTTTTGACAATCTATTTAATGCTAATAATTAACCACTTCAAGTAAAACATGGAAGCTTTACAACCATGTGGGTGTCTTTACCTTCTCCCTTCATGTTTTAGCTGTCATATGTATGTTCTCCACATTCACTGAAACACCCCATAACATGATGATTTGTGCTTGCAAGACATAGATATTTTAAAGAATTTGGCAGGAGGGGCAAATTCGATGGGTGGCTCAGTGGGTTAAGTGTCCAACTTGATCTCAGCCCAGGTCTTGATCTCGGGGTCTTGAGTTCAAGCCCACATTGGGTTCCACTGGGTGCGAAGCCTACTTAAAAAAATAATAATAGGGGATCCCTGGGTGGCGCAGCGGTTTGGCGCCTGCCTTTGGCCCAGGGCGCAATCCTGGAGACCCGGGATCGAATCCCACGTCGGGCTCCCGATGCATGGAGCCTGCTTCTCCCTCTGCCTGTGTCTCTGCCTCTCTGTCTCTGTGACTATCATAAATTAAAATAAAAATAAAAATTAAAAAATAATAATAATAATTTAAAAAGAAAGAATTTGACAGGAGAAATAGGATCTATTATATCTACTCTTCTCTTTACCTCTTTGCTCCTTTTTTTACTCCTGAAGTTCCAAGTTTCCCTCTGAAATCATATCCTTCTGGCCTGAAGAACTTCCTTTAGCATTCTTTTAGAGCAAACCCGCTGATGATAAATTCTCTTGGTTTCCTTCATTGACAGGTCTTTATTTGTTCTTATTCCCAAAGAATATTTTTACCAGATGTAGAATTGTGGGTTGACCATTTTTTTCCTTTTACTGCTTTAAAGATGCTGTTTCACTGTCTTCTGACCTCCATGTCTTTTCTTTCTTTCCTTCCTTCCTTCCTTCCTTCCTTCCTTCCTTCCTTTCTTCCTTCCTTCCTTCCTTCTTTCTTTTTTTGAGATTTTTTTTTTTAAAGATTTGATAGAGAGACTGCAGTAGCACAAGTGAGGGGGAAGGAGCAGGGAGAGAGACAAGCAGACTCGGAGCTGAGCATGGAGCCTGAAGCAGGGCTCAATCTCACAATCCTGAGATCATGATCTGACACAAGATCTGAGCTGAAATCCAAAGCTTGCCCAACTGTGCTACCCAGGGGCCCCATGGCCTCCATGGTTTCTGATGAGAAATCTAGAGTAATTTGAATGATTGGTAACCTATTTGTAAAGTGTTTCTCTATCTCTCTAAGGATTTTACTTTTAAGTAATCTCTACACCTATCATGGGGCTTGAACTTAAAACCCTGAGATCCTGGGACACCTGGGTGGCTCAGCAGTTGAGCATGTCTTCGGGCTCAGGGCATGATCCTGGAGTCCCAGACCTGAGTCCTACATCGGGCTCCCGGCATGGAGCCTGCTTCTCCCTCTGCCTGTGTCTCTGCCTCTCTCTTTCTCTCTCTCTATCATAAATAAATAAAAAGTAAATAAATCTTTAAAAAAATAAAGAAAGGAGACATGATAAACAAGGAAACAAACAGGATTGTTCTGGTTACATATTGTTCTGCAACCAACTACCCCAAAACTTAGTGGCTTAAAACAACAACCATTTTATTATATTTCAGAGATTCTATGGATTAGGAATTCTGGCAAGGATTGGTTGGGTGATTCTTCTGTTCCCTGTGGCATCAAGTGGGATCTCTCAGTGGGACTCAGTTGACAGATACGCTAGTCTGAAGGATCCAATATAGCTTTACTCAGATAGGAGTGACTAGAAGGCTGAGCTCAGCTGGAAGTGTCATCTGGCTTGCCTGCCCAAGGCCTTGCCAGCATGACAATCTCATGGCAGGCTTACAGGGTGGCCACTTCCTCCAGAGTGAGCACCCTGGGAAAACCAGGCAGAGGCTGAATGGCTTTTCATGATCTAGCCTTGGAAGACAGGTAGCATCACTTTTGCTGTAATCAGTTGGTCAAAGCAGTCACTAAAGCCCATCTAGTTTCATGGAGAGGGGATATAGAGCCACCTTTTGATGGGAGGGAGTGTCAAAGAATTTGTGGGGCGTGTGTGTGTGTGTGTATGTGTGTGTTTGTATGTGTGTATGGTTATTTTTAAAAACTGCCACGAGGAGTAGCACTTGGGCGGCTCAGTGGTTAAGCATCTGACTCTTGATTTCCGCTCAGGTCATGATCTCAGGATTCTGGGATTGGGCTCCCTGCCCAGCGGGGAGTCAGCTTCCCCCTCTGGTCCTCCCCCCTGTTCATGCACTCTCTCTCTCTTTCAAAATAAATAAATAAATCTTTAAAAACAAACCAAAAAACTTCAAGGATAAGAAGCCTCTAAGTGGGACGCCTCGGTGGTTCAGCGGTTGAGCATCTGCCTTGGGCTCAGGATGTGATCCCGGAATTCCGGAATCGAGTCCCACATCAGGCTCCTGCATGGAGCCTGCTTCTCCTCCCTCTGCCTATGTCTCTGCCTCTTTCTCTCTATGTCTCTCATGAATAAATACATAAAATCTTAAAAAAGAAGAAGAAGAAGAAGAAGAAGAAGAAGAAGAAGAAGAAGAAGAAGAAGAAGCCTCTAAGTGCATGACAGGTTAAGTGACTTCCACCAAGGACAATTACAGATGTGAATGGGGAGGACCTCTCTAAGGAGGTGACCATGGGCTTAGACCCGAAAGACAAGAGGATTTGTGGGGCACAGAATCTCAGGCATCAGGCACAGCATGTGCAAAGGTGCCCTGGGTCAGGAACAAACGACTGGAAGGAGATCTGACCAACAGGAGGGTAGATGAGGGGGAGCACGGGAGATGAAGGAGGATGCAGGTGGGAACCACATCTTGCTGGGCCTTAGAAGTGGGAAAGTTAGGATTCTATTCCAAGAGCAACTGGAAGCCTCAGGAAAGTTTTAAGCAGGCAAGCAGTATGACCTGCCTGTCTTCTCCAAGGATCCCTCTGACTGCTGTGTGGAGAACATGGGGGAGATACTGATAAAAGTGGGAAGACCAATGGAGGGGCTACTGCAATGTGTGGGTGAGAAGTAATGGCAGCCAGGGAGGTGGGGGTGGGGGGCCGGCAGAGGCGTGTGGATTTGGGAAACATTTAGGGGTTAAATTGGCAGGACTTGGAGACTCGGTGAATGTGTGTGTTTGTCTGTGGGATGATGTTCAAGGAGCAGTCTGTGTTTCTACTTCGCCCAGAATTCTTTTTTTTTTTTTTTAAGATTTTATTTACTTATTCACAAGAGACACAGAGAAAGGCAGAGACATAGGCAGAGGGGAAGAAAAGCAGGGTCCCTACAGGGAGCCCCATGAGGGACTTGGAACTCCGTATCAGGACCCTGAGATCACGACCTGAGCAGAAGGCAGAGACTCAACCCCTGAGCCACCCAGGTGCCCCCAGAGGACAACTTTAAAGGCAAAATAGAGGGTGTCTGGGTGGCTCAGTTAGTTAAGCCTCTACCTTCTGCTCAGGTTATGATCCCAGTGTTCCGAGATCAAGCCCTGCATTGGGCTCCAGCAAGGAGCCCGCTTGCCCCTTCCCCCTCTGCCCCTACCCTTCCCTTCCCCTCTGCTCATGCTCTCTCTGTCAAATAAATAAAATATTTTAAAACTTTTTTAAAAAGAAAGGTAAAATAGGGGTGCCTGGCTGGCTCATTCAGAAGAGCCCATGACTCTTGATCTCAGGGTCGTGAGTTTGAGCCCCATGTACAGTATAGAGATTACTTAAATAAATAAACTTTATTGGTTTTTTAAAGATTTATTTATTTATTTATTCATGATAGACATAGAGAGAGAGAGAGGCAGAGACACAGGCAGAGGGAGAAGCAGGCTCCATGCCGGGAGCCCGACGTGGGACTCGATCCAGGGACTCCAGGATCGCGCCCTGGGGCCGAAGGCAGGCAACAAACCTCTGAGCCACCCAGGGATCCCCCAATAAATAAACTTTAAAACAAACAAATAAATGTAAAATAATCTTGCTAATCCTCAACATGGGAAGGAAATATCCCCAAAATTACTCCTGGGACATGACTTTAGCCCAGGAGACCAAGGCTGGGGGACTTTGGGCAAGTCACTTAACCTCTCTGGGTTTCCCTTTCTTATCTCTACAATAAATGTGTTGGGTTAAGTGATACCTCAGGGACCTCCCAGTTCTGACTTTTCTGTTTAATTAAAATAGACTCCAGTCCAACCTAGTAACATTTAAACCGCACATGCTCATCCTTCTCACACACATGCATGGGGAGAATGCACAAGGACATTCAGAGAAGCACTATTATGATAATAGCAAACCCCCCCCCAAAAAAAATAATAATAGCAAAACCCATGCAACAACCCAAAGGTTCACCCACAGGAGTTTGGGTAAATAAATCACATTGTGGAATATGATACAGCAGTGGAAGTGAGTGAACTAAGGCTGTATGATTATACAAAAGGCAAAAGCAGGTAAAATTAAGCAATAATGCATTTAAGGAGGCGCACTTGTACATATGTGGAAAAAATAAGAGAAGAACAAATGATTGATTAGCACAAAGTTGAATAATGGCAATGTGTGGTAGGCAGGGTGGGGGTTTTATCCAGAGGGGCATACGGGGGCCTCAAAAGAACTAATTTTTAATTTCTTAAGCAGGGTGTTCCATTTATTATTATCTTTAAACTGTATACATGAGCAATATCTGCTCTTTTGTATGTATAAGACATTTCACAATTTTTAAAAAAATTTCAAGGATTTGCCCAAGATCTCCTGCTCTTATGTACAGAGCTAAGGAGGTCAGGGGGCTGTCACAGAGCAAGGAAGAAGAAAGAGGAGGAGACAGCGGGAGAAAAGATAGCTAATAAGAGCAAGGGCTGAGGGCGGAGAGTTCTGGATTTGTCGCCTGCGGTGTCCAAGACCACGGACACACGTTCACATACTAGGCGCGGAAACGCTCTTCCAACGCGCGCGCGGGCCCAGCTGCAGTTCCCACACCGTCCGCGAGAGGCCGCCAAGGCACCAGCTTTCGCCGCCCGCAGGCCCCTGGCTCCGCTTCCCGCCCGCGCTGGCGCACTTCTGGGTCTTCCCGGCAGAGGGCGCCAGTGACCCCAGGAAGGCCGAAGCGGGACCGGCCCCACGCACGCCGGGGCTCCGGTGAGCTCAGCTGAGCGCTGGAGTGCGCATCTACCCAGCTCTCCCTGCCGTTCGGGGAACTTGGGGTCTCAAGCTGAAGAAAGGAGTAACACCCATAGACTTGATTCTGGTGCACCTCTCGCGGCCTTCAAGCTTCCGGTCGGGCCACCCCTTTTGGATATACAGGGAAGAATCTTTTTTTTTTTTTTTTTTAATTTTTATTTATTTATGATAGTCACACAGAGAGAGAGAGAGGCAGAGACACAGGCAGAGGGAGAAGCAGGCTCCATGCACCAGGAGCCCGACGTGGGATTCGATCCAGGGTCTCCAGGATCGCGCCCTGGGCCAAAGGCAGGCTACAGGGAAGAATCTTAATTTTGTGGGAACTGGATTTTTGCAACCTAGACACAACGGTTTGCAAATTTTACAAAATTTTGCAAAAACACGTTAAAAAAAAAACACGAACAAGTTACTAGGACTTTTTTTTTTTTTTTTTTTTTTTGCTAGGACTCTTTCTAAACAAGAAAAGTTAAAGTTTGGGGTACCTGGGTGGCTCAGTGGTTGAGCATCTGCCTTTGGCTCAGGTCCTGATCCCGGGGTCATGGGATGGAGTACCGCATGGAGCTCGCTGTAGGGAGCCTGCTTCTCCCTCTGCCTCTCTGTGTGTCTCTCATGAATAAATTAAAATCTTAAAAAAAGAAGGGGATCCCTGGGTGGCACAGTGATTTAGCGCCTGCCTTCGTCCCAGGATCAAGTCCACATCAGGCTCCCAGCATGGAGCCTGCTTCTCCCTCTGCCTGTGTCTCTGCCTCTCTATGTCTCTCATGAGTAAATAAATAAAATCTTAAAAAAAAAAAAAAAAGACGAAGTTTAAGCTTCAGTCATTTAAGGTTAAATTCACCCCTGATTATACCTATGCATGTTTATTTACTGTCTTTTTCCACTTGAATGTTTCAAGAGGGCAAGAATTTTTACTTAAATTGTTAGTTCCTAGCACATCAGCACATAGAAGCTTTGTAACTATGAATTGAATACACCAGTTGAGGCTGGCACAGTTTTCCAGGTAGATATGACAATGGCCTAGCCTGGGGCTTTTGAGGAATGGATGGGGTCAGGATGATCTCATTGAAACCTCAGAACAGTGACCATAAAACCCATTTTAAAGCCGAGGGCCTGAATGTGAAGCAAGTGCCCAGTGAGAAGTGACACTGGGCCTAGAAACCCAGTCTGCCTTTTCTTGCCCCTCTTGGCCTCCAGCCACTGGCTCCCCACTCCTCACCCCCTGGCTGCCCCTTGCACAAGCCCTTGATGCAACTCTGTAATAGCCCAAGGCGCCCACCTTGGGGGCAGCGCTGGGAAAAAGATTTTGCAAGAGCTAGGGCAGGAAGCACCAGCCAGGGCGGGTCTGGGAAGATAAGGGCTCCCCCTCCAACCATATGCGCCTCCAGGCCTTCTGGTTTCCTCTCTTCCCTTCCCTTCCCTTTCCCGGACCCTGGCCTGGCCATGACTCACCTCCTTTCCCTCTGGCAGGCGGGCTGGGATCATGGGCCTGCCTGTCCCAGGAAAGCCTTGCTCTGTGTGACCCTGGGCAGTGGAAAGCCAGCAGTTCCTGGAGCTCAGTGAGAGTAGCTGGCATGAATAAAGGTTACACGGCTGAGCTTTAGTCTCAGGAGACAAAATGTGGGGGGTACCAGGACACCTTATTAAGCCAATTCTGAGCTCTGGGTGACTCAAATAGGCAGGTGTAAGGTTGGCTGGTTGGTTGTATGTGAAGCACCCTTTTACCCCTGTGGAGGGGAGAGTGTACAGAAGTGGGGGCCTAGAGATCCCTCTTCCTCTAGGACAGAACCCAGAGATCCCTCCACCTCTAGGACAGAATCAGACATTTCCACATTTTGGTTGGTCTCTACCTGGTTCAAGAACTGTATCTAGCTGTGTGACCTGCCTCTCATGACCCGGTCATACAGAACCTGGCCCAGCACCTCTTAGAGGTCAAGAGAGCCTGGGCCATTTCCGTCTTTAGAGACTGTAGTTAGATTTTTTTATTTTTATTTTTTTAATTATATTTATTTATTCATGAGAGACACACAGAGAGAGAGAGACAGAGACACAGGCTTCCTTACAGGGAGCCTGATGAGGGACTCGATCTCAGATCCCAGGATCACGACCTGAGCTGACACTCAGCTGTTAAACCACCCAGACATCCCTTTTTTTTTTTTTTTAATTTTTTTTTTTTTTTTTTTATGATAGTCACAGAGAGAGAGAGAGGAGAGAGAGAGGCAGAGACACAGGCAGAGGGAGAAGCAGGCTCCATGCCCCGGGAGCCCGACGTGGGACTCGATCCCCGGTCTCCAGGACCGCGCCCTAGGCCAAAGGCTGGCGCTAAACCACTGCCGCCACCCAGGGATTTCCCGCCCCCCCTTTTTTTTTAAATTAAGAAATGCTGAGGGACCCCAGTGGCTCAGTTGGTTAAGCGTCTGCCTTGGGCTCAGGTCATGATCCTGGGTCCTAGGATGGAGCCCTACATTCAGTTCCCTGCTCAGTGGTGAGTCTGCTTTCCCTCTGCCTGCTGCTCCCCATGCTTGTGCTATCTCTCAAATAATAAAATCTTAAAAAAAAAAAGCCAAAATATAGGTTGCAAAAATTGTGATATGTATTATGTATCTTGCATTTTTTTCTAGCTTAAGCATTTAAATTTTTTTTTTTTTTGAATTTATTTATTTATGATAGTCACAGAGAGGAGAGAGAGAGAGAGGGGCAGAGACACAGGCAGAGGGAGAAGCAGGCTCCATGCACCGGGAGCCTGATATGGGATTCGATCCCGGGTCTCCAGGATCGCGCCCTGGGCCAAAGGCAGGCGCCAAACCGCTGCGCCACCCAGGGATCCCTAGCTTAAGCATTTAAAACAAAAATATATAATGACTAGGTATGATTTCAATTGGAAATATGATGAAACAGCTCAATTGGATGTCCTATGGGAACCTGAAACCCCTCATATCCTTGTTTGGATCAAACGATTTCTAAAAAGCCCTCTCAGTCAGAGAGAGTCCCGGTGTGGCGCTGGATGTGTTACTTCACCTCTCTGATGACTCTGCTTTTCTCAACTGAAAAGTAGAAATAGCAATGGGCCTGTACAGCCCCCTTCCTAAGGGCTTAGGACATTTTACACCAACATACACTGTGTCCACTATGAGCCAGACACCTTGCTAAACTTTTGTTTTTTTTATCTTTTTCTTTTTTTCTTTTTTTTTTTTTTTTAGAGTTGGGGTAGGGGAGAAGGAGAAAAAGAATCCCAAGGAGGTTCGGTTCAGTATGGAGCCCAACACAGGGCTCGATCTGGCCTGCAGACCCCAAAATCATGAACTGAGCTGAAATCAAGAGATGTTCAACGGACAGAGCCACCGAGGTGCTGCATGGTGCTAAACTTTTGTGCACTGATTCAATTGATCCTTGGAGCCACCTTCTGGATCCCATTTCTCAAATGAGAAAACAGAGGCACAAACAGGTGAGGTGATGAGCATCAAGGATGATCCAGAGGCTGTGTTCCAGCTGCCTCCCGACTGAAATGTGAGCCTATTATTATTGTTGTTGCTCTGGTTATTTTTGTTGAAATGAGCACGATAGCATCATCGTTCCTGTACAGCTGTGAGGAGGATTAAATGAATTAAATTTAAAAGAGCTTAGTATGATACCTGGTACATAATAAGTGCTCCATAAGTGTTTGTTAAAGAAACACACACACACACACACACACACACACACACACACACACATCAGATTTCAGGCCCACAGCCCTGGGCAGGCAGGAGCCAATGCCCAAGAAACTTGGTCCTGGTGTTTCTCTGTAGCCTCTGCCCCCAGCTCCTCCCTGCACCAGGTCCAGGAGGGGTTAAGGAGTTAATGATTTTCCAAGCACCCTGAAAAGGGCAGGGTTTTGCGTGACACACACACACATACAGAGCAGGGCTTTGTGTGCTACACACACACACCAAAGTTTTGCATACTCCACACACAGAGCGGGACTGTGCGTGTTACACACACACACACACACACACACACACACACACACGCACGCACGCAGAGTCACGCCGGCCCCCGGCCCCACCCCCACCCCGCGAGGCGAGCCTGATGCAAGCCCAGCGCCCGCCCGTTCCCAGGCCCGGCTGCAGCTGCGGGCGGAGGGGCAGGGCGGGGGCGGCGCTGTTTGTCTAGCGCGGCCGTGCCAAAGGCGGCGGGCCCCAGACAGCCAGGCGCCTCCGTACACCTGGGGATGCTCAGGTTAAATAGCTCCGCATTCCTCGGGCCCAGCTGATGGAAACGCTCCCAGGCCGCCGCCGAGCGGGCCTCCAGATGGGCTGGGCCCCGGCCAAAGGGGAAAAGAGGGAAACGTGGAAGCCAGAGTGCGCCTGCACGGCGGGGAGGGGGCCGAGGCCCCCGCCCCCGCCGCGGCCCCTTCCCCTTCCCCGCCGGGCGGCAGGACGCGGGGGCACGCCCACGTGCCCGTGGGTGGGCTGGCGGGGGGCCGCCCCGGGAGGCAGTGGGTGCACACGTGTGCCTCTGAGGCACTCCAAGGGCACCCGGGCGACAGTTAATAGTGACAATTTGTAACTATCAAACACGGCGTAGTAAGTGCCCTATTCCGTGGATTCTCTGCAATCCGGGGAAGTTAACGCTCTGCAAGGGCAGCGGGGTCGGGTGTTGAGCGGGAAATAGCAAAGGGCATGATTTGCCTCCAAATATTGTTCTTTGATTAAGTCCATCATGTGCTGGGGTGGGGTGGCACCTGGCCTAGGGTTAGTGCTCAGCGGGTGATGATCTTTCATTTGTCCTTGATGCTGCCTCGGTTTCTCCTTGTAAACCTGGGATCAGAATCCTGCCTAAATTTAGCCCCATGGGGATCCATGGGATCTGATGTAAAGAGTAGAGAGCATGGATCCCGCTCATGGTACCAGGTGGCATTTATTTTATTCTATTTACGGACAAAATGTATTAATAGGCCTGACCCTCTCTGGACTAAGTTCTATGCCCTTAGGTTGGGGCTCGGTGTGTCCCCGAGTAATACATGGTAACTGATGTGGTCGGGATACTCCAAGGATGGTGTCCGCAGGGCCTAACAGTTGCTCCGAAGGTTGGTACTTGAGCTTCTGATGGAGCGTTTCCTGAGCACAGCTGCCCCCACCTCCACCCCAGACCAGCAGAGACCCAGGAATGCCAGCCAACTTACAGAACAATTACACACTTAGAAACCCACAGTGTGGTTCTGAAGCTCCTGGACACACAAACCCATCCATCAAGCCAGACCCATGCAGAGATGCCCATAATGCATTTGGGCAGAACACAGAAGCCCAAACAGCTGGAGGTTGCACACTTATCTGCAGAACACATGTGCTCGCATTTGCCCTTCCGCACACCCCCCATGCCTTATCCTCATCCACACCCCTAGGCCTGTACACAGCAGATGACCCAGCCCCACAGGCGGGGGGAGCTACCAGTTCACTCATGTCACAAACACAGGCCCAGACACTCCTATGCACTCCTCTGTGTGCAAACTCACACATGTCCAGGCAGATAGCCCCTTGCCAATGACAGCTTTTTCCTGCTCAAGAGCTGGGGACGGACTCTCCCATTCCTCCCCAGCCCACACGGGAACCCTGGGGGAGAGAGGTTGGTCTGCGTGAGCTATTGGCATAGCCAGGCCAGGGTGAGGGGGCTGAGCCTGGACCCAGAGCAGGTGGCCCAGCAGCTGTGCCCAGGCTGGCCCTGCCAACTTGCTCACCCACTTGGACAAGCTGGGAGCCCCAGGGCAGCCTGCTACAATCCAGGGCTAGGCAGCCCAACTGGGGAGGCACCTCCCACCGGGGAATGGGGGGACAGAAGTCCTGCCTCAGACAGGCTCTCAGCAAGTTTTCCCCTGTAGGTCTTGGTCTCCCCCTCCCCTATGTTGGCAAAGATGGACGTGGCTCAGTGACCTGGTTCTCCAACTTAAATGGCCTGTTGAATACTTAAGTGACAGTGGGCCTTGGCAGGTTGATCTGCACTTTAACAACCTCCCCAGGTGACCCAGATGGCCCAAGACCCCTTGGAGAAACCCTAGAGGTCTAAAGGATTTAATTTTATGACACCAGGGAGCAGGGAAATGACCAGTGATGGGGAAAGAATAGACTTTAAAGACACCGGAAAACACTCAGTTCAGGTCGGTAAAACCGACAGTCCAGATGTGGCCTTCTAAGTACCCCTCCCCCCCACCCCAGCACCAGCTGTGAAGAGTCAGGGGTCACCCGCATCCCAAGGCCCTCCCCTCAGTCCAAGAAATCACTGCAACTTTACCGCAGTCTAAAGTGTTTGTTTAATAACAAAAAAAGAAAACCACCCCACAGAACTATTGTAAAACAATATTCTCGGTGATCATTGTAATATACAATACAAAGCAATTAATTTCCTCAGAAATCTGAGAAGCACCAAACGTGACCATTTTTTAAAATGTCTGCTTTTCAAAAAATAGAAACACACCGGGGAGGGGTCCCCCAAGTCTCTGGTGGTTGGTAGGTGTGGAGTCAGCCCTCCGTCCCCCGGCCCTGGGCTGGATCCAGCAAGCGCCCCACCGGTCGCTGAGCTCAATCTCAATCGTGTGTCCTCCCCAGCTCCAGCGAGGCGCTCGGCAGGATCAGAGCACGGGTTCTTCTCGCCCCCTGGAGGGCTGGGGTCCGCCAGTCCTGGAGAGAGGCGCTTCAGCGACACAAGATGCGATCGTCCGCCGGAACACAGGCCGCCTGTGAAAACGAGAGAGAGGTGAGACGGGCGGGTCGGAGGGGACGAGGCTGCAAGACCTTCCCCAGGAGACACTTTTGAGAGCGCGCTTCTTCCGATCTCCTCGGGCATCCCTGCACAGCCAGGTGCCCGAAAGGATGGGGCGGCTGTAGAGCCAAGGCTCACCCCCCTCCGCCTCCCTCGGGGCCTGTGTCCCCAACTGTAGGAAGAAAATGCTCATCTCACCTCGGCCGCCAGGGCGCTGATCTCGCCGTTGAGGGTGCTGAGCGGAGCCCGGGCGGGGAGCCCCCGGCCTCCCGGGGTCCCGACTTGGGATTCCGAGTTCAGCTCCAACTCCAGGTCCCAGATGTAGTCGATGACGTGCTGGAGGATCTCCACCCGGCTCACCTTGCGGTTCTGGGGCAGGGTGGGCACCAGCTCCTTGAGGCGCGAGTAGCAGCCGTTCATGTCGTAGAGCAGCACGTTCACTTGCTGCTCGTCGAGCAGGGCGGGCAGGCGCGCCCCGGCGCCCCCGGCGCAGCGCGAGATGGCCACGCTCTGCTCGGACAGACAGCGCACCACCTCGCCCGCGCCGCCCGCCGTCTTGCCGGCCTTCAGCGCGCAGCTGGGGCCCGCGGCGGCCGCGGCACTGCCACTGGCGACCTTCATGATGCTGGCGTCGGAGTAAGAGCGGGGAGCCGAAGCGCAAGGAGGCGGACACCCGGCGGGAGCCTAGGCCTCGGGGCGGGGGAGAGACGGTTGTAGAACGCGCCCGCGGCACCCCCGCAGCAGCTTTTATAGAGACGCCGCGGCTCCCCCCCCTCCCCTCTGCCCCGCCGCCAGAGGCGGGCTCAGAGGTTCAAAAGCAGCCAATGGGCGGTCTTGAGGCGTGGCCTTCGGTGCTTCTGGGGCCCGCCTCCTGCTCTACGAGTGCACCCTCGCAGCCTCGGAAAGGGAGCCCGAGTCTCAAGAACCGGGAGTGGAAGGGCACGGGGCGGGGTGGCTAGTGCCAGGCCAGGGCTACCTTGAGCTTCTCGCAAAGGAGGCATTGCCGGGAACGAAGACTTCTGGAATCACTTTTCTCAGGTTCATTTTCTCACCTCTCCAGCTCCATTTTACAGATGGGAGAAATTGAGGCTTCAGTGCGGAAGCGGCTGGCTCTGGCTTATCTAGAGAGCCCACGACTAGAGCCTGGGCTTCTGGGAGCCCGACCTCCTGGGTCTGGCACAAAACTTAAAGCCGGCCTTCCTTTACCCTCTGCTCCCCAAAGCTGGTCTCCCTTACCCAATTCCCAGAGAAAGTTGCTGGTTAATGTTCCTGGGACCTGGGAGGATTTACCCAGGCCCCTCTGGGTGGGAGCAATTAATTCGGGAAAGTCTTCCTCTAGGATCGGGGGCGGATCCTCTGGGACATGAACTAGATAGAAGGCCCCCAGAGGGGGGCTGCATCCCCTGCAAAGATTCCCTAAATCTGCATCAACTAGTGATTTTAGAATTTTTCTCCCTTTTTTGGCTGTTTCCTGTCCCCTTCCCCCCCACCCCCAAGACCTCTGATCAGGGTCTCCCTCCCACGGCGCGGCAGCTGCGGAGCTCCAGGCTCACCCCCCCCGCCCCCCACCTCCCGGGCGGGTCTGTGTCAGCGTCTGAACAAGCGGCTCAGACCGTTAGACGCCAGGCCCGTGACGTCACCCATTCATAAAACCGGGACGGGCTGTCAGGCTGGCGCCGCGCGGGCGGTCGCCATGGAGACGGCAAACCCGGCCGGAGCGCTCCCCCACTGCGCCGCGCTCGGCCAGTCACCTGCGGACCTCGGGCGGGAAGCGGGGAATGCGCTCCTGGCGGGCGCGGTCTCTGGCCGAGGGTCGCCTTCCCTGCTCCACACCTGGGAATCGCCCCGCCGGGCTCACACCTCAGGCCCCTGGGACGTTTCTTCACCGCTTCCTCGGCACCCTGGCTGCAGGGGGAGAGTTCTCATCCCAACTTTGCTGCTGGGTGAAGTTAGTTGTCTCCGGCCCTCTCTGAGGCTTTTTTTTTTTTTTTTTAAGATTTTATTTATTCATGAGAGAGGCAGAGACACAGGCAGAGGGAGAAGCAGGCTCCACGCAGGGAGCCCGACGCGGGACTCGATCCCGGGTCTACAGGATCGCGCCCTGGGCCCTCGGCAGGCCCTAAACCGCTGAGCCACCCAGGGATTCCCCCCTCTCTGACTCCTAATATAGCATTTGCCTGGCATTTTGATATTAATGACAAAGTGGCTTATTGAATTCTTAGTTCGTGCAAGGCACGTGTATTTCATTGTGTGTAAAGCCATTGCCTTTACCATCTTCTGTAATCCTAGTCACAACTCTAGAGAGGAGTTCTTTGGTTTCTTTATGCAAAGGAGGAAACTGAGGCCGGAAAAGTCTCCCTAGAGGCATAGCTCTTGTAATGGCTGCATTATTTTAACAGGGGCACTTTATTGTAAAGCAATCCCTCCCTTCCAGGGTAGGGAGTCGGAGCTTTTGGAGCCCCAGATTGGCCAGAAGCTGGAGACACCAATGTTTAGAATAGCCACCCAGGGACGTGGAGCTTTGGCATGGCTAAAATACTTTGCCCACCACGGAGAGAGTTGGTATTATGGTTATGGTCCCTCCTCCTCCCCATCCCCCAGCAATTAATTCACTGGGCATCAGCAGGTTTCCTTTTCCCACAGAAGTCTGGGGGAGGGGGCCAGTAAACCTGGCTTCTGCCTCAACATGGGAGAACCAGGAAAACCAATCAGTGAGACCAGCTTCAAAGGAAAGAGACATTATTAATTAATTAACTGGACTCTTCATCCCTTTTACCACACCCCCAAACTCTCCAAACTCCCTAAGCCTTGTTTAGCAATCTTCTAATAACTGGCAAGAACATTTTGCTGTCCAAAACAATTGCTAAAGAATTGGGAAGACAATGACCAGCCAGAAGAAATTAGAATATTAATTCATTACCCAGTGTTTATTAACTGACCCAGCAATTCTCCTTGCTGGCATCAATTCCAGAGAAACTTACACACACAGACACAAGGATGTCTGCCCAAGGACATTCACTGAGGTGCTATTTTCAAGAGGGGAAGTTGAGGTAACCTAAATGTCCACCCACAGGGGCATTAGATGAACTATGAATGGAACATATACACTATGAATGGAACATGGGTGCTATGGAATGTCTATGCAGCAGGTGGGAAGAAGGGCTGAGAGATACCTAGATTCTACTCTTGGTAGAGTAACCATTAGACTAGTGGCCAAGGTAGGACTTCTTGCGTGTAAAAAAAGCAAACATACTGCTCCCAAGTACAAGTGTACCTGGAAATGAATTTTTATTTTTATTTTTGGAAATGAATTTTTAAAAGAGAGAATCAGGGATCCCCGGGTGGCGCAGCGGTTTGGCGCCTGCCTTTGGCTCAGGGCGCGATCCTGGAGACCCGGGATCGAATCCCACATCGGGCTCCCGGTGCATGGAGCCTGCTTCTCCCTCTGCCTATGTCTCTGCCTCTCTCTCTCTGTGTGACTATCATAAATAAATAAATTTAAAAAAAAATTTAAAAGAGAGAATCAAGCTGTGGAAAAATTCCAAACACAGTACTGTGTGATTTTTCCTTATATGAAGTTCTAGAATGGGCATAACTAATCTTTGGCGAAAGAAATCAGAATGGTAGTTGTTTCTGGGAGTGGAGGGTGGAAGTTGCCAGGGAAGGGGTGTGAGGGAACTTTCTGGAATGATGGAAATATTCTATATGATGGCGAGGTGTGTGGTACACAGTGTATGAATTAATCAAAACACATTGGATTTTTTTTTAACACATTGGATTATATACTTTTGTGCAGGTCATTTTATTTATCTACCTTTCTGTTTTTTAAGATTTTACTTACTTATTCATGAGAGACACACAGAGAGGCAGAGACACAGGCAGAGGGAGAAGCAGGCTCTCTGTGGGGAGCTCAATGTGAGACTCAATCCCAGGACCCCAGGATCAGGCCCTGAGCCTAAGGCAGGAGCTTGATCATTGAGCCACCCAGGTGTCCCTGCATTTCATTGTATTTAAATTGCACCTCAACAAGAGTGCCTAGCTGGCTTAATCTGTGGAGCATGGGACTCTTTTTTTTTTTTTTTTAATTTTATTTATTTATTCATGAGACACACACACAGAGAGAGAGAGTCAGAGACACAGGCGGAGGGAGAAGCAGGCTCCATGCAGGGAGCCCGACTTGGGACTCCATCCCCTGTCTTCAGGATCATGCCCTGGGCTGAAGAGGGTGCTAAACTGCTGAGCCACCTGGGCTGTCCTGGAGCATGGGACTCTTGATCATGGGGTTGTGAGTTCAAAGCCCATGTTGAGGGTAGGGAATTACTTTTTTAAAATTTTAAATAAACAAACAAATAAATTGCATTCAACAAAAATATTAGAAAAAAAGATAAACATCAAATTCCTGACATTACTCACCACTGTGAAGAGTGAGGGAAGGAGAACAATATGAAGTAGGACTTTCACTCTTATCTTCACGTGGGTATTTCGTTCTTACATTTTGTCTTCAACAGTGTTACTGAAGTGTAACTGACACACGCTAACTGCATATATTTAATGGGTACAATCTGATAACTTTAGACAGGCATACATACCCATAAACCATCACCATAATCAAGAACATTAACATACACTTCTTTAGCTCTAAAAGTTTTTCTCTGCCCCTCCTAACCCCACCCTCCGCCTCTTCTACCCAGTGCCCAGGCAGTCACTCACTCCTCTCTCTATAGATTACTTTGCCTTTTCTAGAATTTTATATAAAGGGAGTACAATATATATTGTATGTATACTCTTTCCTCCAAAAAAAAAAAAAAAAAAAAAAGGCTTTCAGCCTTGTTTCTTGAACTCCACCTAATTATTTTGAGATTCATCCATGGTCATTCCATTGTTACTGCAGAGTAGTAGTGGTATACGGATCTGCCACGATTTGCTTATCCATTCACCTGTCCTGGACTTTTGGGTTGTTTGTAGTTTGGGGGTTGTACAAATAAAACTGCTACAAACATTTGTGTACAAGTGTTCCTATGAATCTACGCTTTGATTTCTTTTAGACAAATAGTAGTGAAGTCACTGGATCACAACGTAGGTTTTTATGTAACTTTATAAGAAATTGCTTACCTGTTTTCCCAAGGGGGTATTCCGTGTACATGCTTATCAGTGGCACTGAGAGTCGACTTCCTCCATGTCCTCTCTCAGGGTTTGCTCAGTCTTTTTCAGCCATTCTAATAGATGGGTTGATGTATCTCACTGTGACTTTAATTTGCATTGTCCTAATGACTACAGATGTTGAGCATCTTTTCATGTGCTTATATGTATGCCATTCATATATCTTCTTAGGTGAAGGCTCATTTACTTCTTTTGCTCATTAAAAAAAGTATTAGAGGGACACCTGGGTGGCTCAGTGATTCAGAGTCTGCCTTCAGCCCAGGGCGTGATCCTGGAGACCTGGAATCGAGTCCCGTGTCAGGCTCCCTGCATGGAGCCTGCTTCTCCCTCCGCCTGTGTCTCTGTCTCTCTCTCTGTGTCTCCCATGAATAAATAAATAAAATCTTTAAAAAAATTAGATAACTCTAGATTCGCATATAGTCATAAGAAACAATACAGAGAGATCCCTCATAGCCTTCACCCAGGTTCCCTGATGGCAGCATCTGGCAGTACAATATCACAAACACCTTTCACCAGCTTTATACACACTCACTTGTGTGTGTATTTAGTTCTATGCAATCTTATTTCTATATGA